TCTTCAAAATGTATGTACAATTCTTCAAAATTAATGTAGATTTTCATACGGACATCTTTTCACTGTGGAAATTAGAGGGCGCTTATCAATGCACTTCTTATGGTTTAGAATGTCCATAACTCTTTTCTCAGTGTAGTTTTCCACTTTTTTTATTCGGGTAATTATTTTCTGGATATTTCTAAGCAAAAAAGGTGCACTTATGAAAATTCCCTAAAGTAAGCCGCATTAGAGATATTTTGGTTTGTAGTGTTCGAAGTACCACCGGAATATTTGAATTAGTTTGAATAAAACATGTTTTCTGATATCTTTCTGGTGTAATTTGGTCAGTGAATGAGCAGTTGGAGCTTACTTGTCGATTTTTATTTATTAAATTCATCACCTTGTATCTAGGAAACGGGGCAATTTCGGACTGAGATAAGTTGCTTCGACTCGAATTATTTTGACCTCAGGACTATGTGCTAAGATTTTGTACAGACCTTGAAGGGACATCCTGTATAAACACAATCGGGGGCGACGATAATGTTTTTCTTGAACGGATGGAGGGGGGGTAATTGCGTTTTGGTTTAGGTCATGAAGAAACAATATGTTATAGAGAGGTATAAATAATAAATATTATAGAATTAGAAACAAAACTACTCTTCTTTGGACATAAAAAATCACATATTAAACAGACATAATAGATATTTATACACCAAGACCAAGATAAAGGTGGTATTATTCTTTACTACCAAGATGAATATTAAATTTTTGTCACCACTAGCAGGATATTTCAATAACTACCTAAGGACCTATTATCACACTATGAAAGGACATCTTTCTGATTCTGATTGAGATCTAGTAGCCATGATCCAGAGCCAGTGGTGGCTATGTCTTTATTAACTAGTGGTTCATAAAATGACGAAAACTACCTTGGTTGTGAAACATTACGACACTGATTTAGGAATCTATTGCGGTAACGTGAAAAAAATATAATTTCAAATATTATTTTTACTCAAAAAAATAAATAAAAACCAATTTATCATGAATATAGCAGGTACTTAAGTTTCGATTGCTGCATTCGCCGCAATTTCTATATCGGAATATAAACTTTCCTGATCAGAATTCATGCCGATGAATTTTTTTTCGAATTGATTAACGCGTCAAAGTTGACAGTTCGCCGAATGAGTGACAACCGAGAACACAATAGATTTGCGACAACCATACGCCCAACCTCTGCAACGCTTGCTTGTTACATATTCCTAATGGATCGTCAGTTCAAGGAATCTTGAATATTTTTGATTAAATAATTAGCTTTTTGGTAGTAGGTAAAATATTGTACTATATTCGTATCGTAAACTCATATTACGATTATCGATAGGTTATCAAACTTGGTCTTCGGCCTCGTTTGACAAATTTCCCAACTCATATCGTAATATGAGTCTTTACGATACTCGTATCGTAAATATCTATAACGCCTTGAAAAGGAGATAATAATAGTAGGTTCTAGAGCTAGTGGTGGCAAAACGTCTATAATATCTATCACATATCTTACAAATTATTACTCTTGGGGAGGGTAATGACCCCCATTACCCCCCCATATCGACGCCCTTGATTACAATAATCTACTATTACTAATGCAATTTAGAACACAAAAGTCACTCTGCTGTTGATGTTTACTCACATTGTCGATGATTATCCGCTAGCACTATTTGGAGTTTTCAGACGAATTTTCGATGGAATACTGCATATTTCCCTTTAATCATTTGAGGAGACAGTCGCTCGTTTCGTTAATGACTGGCGATAGAATATTCGACAAGATAAGGCCACTTCAAGTTCAGTAGTGTAAGTTATCATTGAAAAAAAAACAGACGAGTGGTCATGGACATGGAAAAGAAGGCGTAGAAAATAACAAGAAAAATTTTGTTTCTCGTTAATTTGTTCTTGATGAGGGAGCTAATAGTCGAGACCGAAAGGCATGTTTCAGAATAAACTGCTCAAAAAATGAGTTGGCCTACTAACAAATTCAGCCAAGGTGTTTCCGATATTGAAGAGATATTTGTTTGTTTTTTGAAGCGCAAGTTAGGTAGTGCATGTTTTTTCGTCTTTTGGAGGTTATAAATTCTTGCAAATGCCCTCCTTGGCCGAAGATATGCTGATCTATGTTTTGATATGATAACATATCTGGAGGATGACGAAATAAGGATGTGCAGATCTAATAATATTATGGGTGATAGAAGACAAAAAAAAATCAAGATAAAATGGGAATATAATATGTAAAAAAATTGTTGTAATTGAATGTCAAAGTTCGACTGGAACTATTCTAAACCATTGATCAAAAATTAACAACCTGACTCAGGCGTTTGCTTTCGGTGAGATCAGATGCACCAGGAGTATCAATAATTACTATTGCAAATTTAATGTTATCGAACTTTTAATAACATAATTCGAAACTCATTGCTAGAAAGTGTGATGCTATTTAATTTGTTACGACAGATATCGAGATGAATTGAATATTATACATGTGTTAGTTCAGTCATTGAGGAGCTCAGGAATGGTATTCGATGAAGAGCTTAGATTCTAAGACCACTACGGAAAGAATTGTACAGAAAGTATATTCCAGTCTCAAACTATCACACCCGAATAGACATACCTTGAATTCTAGGGAAAGTTTTTTAAAATTGGATATTCTAATATGGTTTATTATCCATGCTCAGATAAAGATAAAAACACCAAACATCGAATGCAGATTATCTAAATCATATGTTGCCGATTTGTTGATTGTTTCAGAAAAAATGTTTAGTATCTGATAAATTAAAACAATACGTTATCCTTCGTCCACCATCTTCATACTCGAAAGATATTGTTTTTGATAGATCGTAAAGATTTTGAAGCGAAAAATATTAGCAGAAAAAAATTTGGAATTCTTGGTTCATAACTCTTTTCAATTTGGTGGTTCCTATTTTGTGTAATCGGATCTTCATGAATATTTCATATTTCGTCTGCAAGTGTATTAGGTTAAGCTTAGGTTAGTCTAGTCAGTTTAGACGATGGTTCAGGTTTATAGTTAGTTAATTTAATATATCGGTTGAATGTCAGAATAGGCTTAGCTGAATTTTACCCAAATGAATATAATTTATCATTATTAATTGGGTTCAAATTGTTCCAGTCACGCAGGAGCTTCTGCAGCTTTGCTGCAGGCCTTTCTCCGAGCGGGCTCTAGCTCAGTTACTGAGGCGCTCGGAGTCGAAAATCAGACAATTCATCGGCTGCTCGACGTGCTGCCCTAAAAAGAAAAGCTCCTACTCCTGTCTCTTCATGGGTTTTAACCATCTGCAGGAGGAGATCCGAACTCCTGATGACTTTGTAGGGGCCGTCCTGGAACCATTCTGTTATGGAGATACTCCAAGATCAAGAGTCCAAGGCCACCCTGGCCTCTAGGTATGTATAACCGTGGAACGGGCGAATTTGGATGCAAACTCATATGGAGATGCATCATCTTTCGCGAGTACTTACGTCAAGTTGTCGCAGCTCGACTTGAGCCCATTTTATCACGTTCATTATTATCATTGCTTTTATTGATTTCATCCTAATTCCAGTGACAATTCTGCGGCCTCCGACGACACGCAGATGCGTGCTGAATAAAATCCAGTGACTTCTCCTCACAGCCTGTGGGGTGACTAATCACTGGGACCAAGAACCGTTTGCCCTGAGTATATGCAATGATCCAAGTATGACGGCCTTCTGCATTTCACCAGCTAGGATGTGTGCCTTATCACGGCATGCTGGAATTTTCTGAATTTCCGAGAGCAGCGTATGTCTTTGACCACCTAGGGAGCCGATAATCAGGATGACCAGTTCTACAGAATGGTCTGGACTAGATAAAGCCTACGGAGTTCGAAGAGAAGATCTCGATATTTACCGTTTATTCTCCTCCTTCAGAATGGTTTTCGGTTTGGCTGGCGTCGAAAACTCAATCAGGAACATCGCCTTGGTTCGATGGTCGAGGAGAACTACATCAGGCTTGTTAGCTTGTATTTGCCTGAGGGTGGGGAATGAGAAGTTTAAATAAATTCGGTACTTGTCATTCTCCACAACGGACTCAATATGCCCCGGAGCATATAGGGCAGCAGTGGGGTCTCGTCTATTCCGTACGAGTGCCTCAAATGATAGTAAAGCACTCACAATGCCGCATTGTGTCTATGGATATAAACCAGACTGCATACACCGTGCAAGAAGATAGCAGGTGCATGAGTGTCTTCGGCGCCCTGCGGCAAGCCCTGCAATTTGTGTCAGGGACCTCCATATCCATGATACAGCCACAGTATACGAGGGTGTTGAAGACCCCATCCTGGTATACCATGCAGAATCCCTCTGTTTCCGATTTATCCCGCCTGATTTGAAGGAAGCAAAAGTCAGCTTTTTGGTCAAGCCCTGGTCTTCAATGGCCTTGAAGTAGACCGACTGCATGGGCTCATCTATGTGAAGCTGCAGGTGCTTCCTCGCTTCTGCAGCTATGATGCGGACCTTTCTCCGAGCGGGCTCCAGCTTAGTTACTGAGTCCTGAGCACCGCGGATGTTTGAAGTGCTGCCCTGAAGAGGAATGCTCCTACTCCTTCTTCTTCTTCTTCTTCTTGGGTTTTAACCATTAGCAGGAGGGGATACGAACTGCTGATGACTTTGCAGACGCCGTCCAGAACCATTCTGTTATGGAGATACTCCAATCTCAAGAGTCCACGGCCATGTATAACCGTGAATCGGACGAATTTGGATGCAAACTCCTATGGAGATGCATCATCTAGCGAGTACTCACGTCAAGTTGTCGCAGCTCGACTTTAGTCCATTACATCACTTTTATTATTATTATTGATATTATTATTATTATCATTATGTGGTATGCACCAACTTATATTTTTGAGTTGAAAAACAATGTTCCTTGCGATTCATTGTGTCATTATGTCTCCCACTTTATTTGTCTCTCCAATTTTGGAAACACCCAGTAAATTCTATCTACTATTACTCACCCGCTGAATCCTCTTCTTTTATTTACTGGTGACGAGGTGTTCACTGCGTTATCGTTGGAAATGGAAGTATCTGAAACATAACATAAAAAAACACGATGAAAAAAACCCTGAAAACATACACAGCACATACACGTTCTATCGCATTTGGTAATTCCCAAGATTCAATTAGCTTGCATTCTTCTCTAATTATTGTAGCCGAGATTTAATTGCAATCACACATGTTGATATGAGATGAAACACAACAAAATAATTAACTGCCAGTTGAGTAATTGCCTTGTCGAGAGGCGAAGACAAAATAATAACAAACGAAACGAACTGATCATTACTGTAATTAAATAGACTATTCGAAGTCCTCGATTCACGATTCGCCAACACAAAATATTGTACGTTAAACTGTATAGCCGGTTGAAATATTCAACCCCTAAAATATTTTCCTTGCAACTTTTTTTCTCAATGAAAATTTCTCTTTCAAAAAAACATGGCTGAAAAGCCCAATTCAGTTACTTATTTTTTTTACTCTGAAAGTTTTTTTTTCGAAAACTTATTTGCCATGTTTTTTTCTATAGAAATGTTTTATCCACAAAAAAAAATGTTGCAATTTATTTCCCCTCCTCCATATCTCCAGAACTGTTTATTGATATTGAACAAAAAAATTGTAAGGAACTTATTTTTTTCAGAATCCAATATAGATCATTTTTGTGTGACCTCTGCGCTAAACCTCATAGTTTCCAAAATATAGGCGAAAAACGAAAAAACTGAATTTTCTGTCATTTTGATCTCCCCTCACCCAAACCCGACGCTCGGCGTGGTGAAACTTTTTACTACGTGTTAAGGGAAGTAGACGGATTAATTTGGCGCCGATATTAACTTTTTTTTGGTGTTTGGGTTTGAGTAATTTTTGAGCTAGTTTCATCGTACTATGAAATCAAAATTGAAAGATTATTTGTGTAATAATAATGACAGTGGAATAAATTACACTCTCGTTATTGCCAACTAATAATATCTATCACCTGTTCCATAGAATTTATCAGAAAACGAGAATATAATATATGAGCATCTATAAATAATTCGCGAAGAACGATTATAAACGCCTTTGTCATTGTAACTAAGCACACTATCAGACACGTTCTACGATGTTGTCTAAACTGCATTTCGAAAATGCAGTGTGTAATAATTTCCGAAGTACACAGGGTGATCCTCAATCATGTGAAAATAGAAACAGCCGTTGTTTCAAAAGAGACACCCGGTGTACTGCTTTGTATTTTTTTTTATGTTCTGCTTCCCACGAGTTCCCACGAAATGGGATATCCTGTAATGTTCAGAGAATATCGTGAGAACCGAGGGAAATAAGGTAGGAATTGGCGTTCTTCTTAAATTTCTGGAGGTTATATGCCTCGGGGAACACCTCTCTTGGCAATGTATTCCAGAGCCTCGCTGTTCATTGGATGAACGAGTCTTTGGAAAGAGATGTTCGGCAGGTCTCCAAAGTGACCACGAAGGGGTGCGAAGCCTCAACTCGACGGGATAATCTCGCGGGGACTGCCAAGGGAGGAACAATAATTGTTGATGTTCCAGAAGAGCATCGTCCATGAAAATATCTATAAAATTGAGCCAGATCGCTAACTTTTTTACGGTGTTCCAGAGAAGTGAGCGAGTTTGTGAGCGAGGCATCACCCACGAGACGAATTGCCCTTTTTTGGACAGAATCCAACAGTTTCAGGGTATGTTTGGGTTTATCTTTTTTCGTTACCTAACTCACAGTGGCTGTAGCTTGGAGGAGATGAATCTTAAGACACATGTCTATATACAGTGTGGCCCACTTGAATACGGTATACGGAAACTATACTTTAGGACGATTCCGCCTTCAAATTTGTTAATACTGTATGCCCATCATAATCAATATGAGTTTTGACTCTCTGTATCTCGATAACAAAGGTTGGGTATTCTGTGACAAAGCGCTTCACCTTCAGCATATTATACCAGACCTATGTTAATGGGGAAACCAGCGAGCCATATTCGAGGAGAATTGTTGTGTACCTATACTCGTCGATGCCGAACATAATGAACTAATGAATTAATAGGGAGATGAATTCCGAATTCCCGCAGCAGGAAGTTCTCGGCTGGGGGCGAAATTGCTATTGTATGGCGTGCTGCTTACACGCCTCGTTGTTGTGTTTTCGAAGCTCATTCTGCGATAAAACTACTGCTCGAACGCTGTATTAATCGTATTAATAGGTCTACTAGGGTTGACTTTCAAAAAACGCCCCAAGCCACTATTCTCCGATTTCGAAAAAAAATGACCATTATTTTTTCAAATTTCAATGGAAACGTCAGCGACCGTCATTTTTTTTATTTTCAATGGATTGCGTGCAAGAACTGTCAGATGACCGACCCTGGAGGAACAACATTGAAACACAACCTCACTTTTCTCATTTGTTTACGAGTGATTGAAATAGTTTTTCACAATTATTTTGGTAAACGAATCGTACTTTTCGGCTATTCATTAATTGTACAATGCACAAAAACTGCAGCAGAAGACGAAGGAATCCTGTTGGTACATTATGATTTGAAAGTAAGTACCTACTATAGTCACTCACATACAGTGTGTCCCACTTACTATGCTCACCATGGGTATCTTTTTAACGGTGAGAGATACGAGCTCGGTTAAATGACACCAAATGTGGAGTTTGTCAAGGCCAACTATAATGTGAAAAAATATTTTGATAAAATCTATTCGTTTTTGTTTTATACGCAAAAAACAGATTTTGATCATTTTCATGCCTCCGTAACTTCTTCATTTATGAAAATATTCAAATAGGAATTTCACATTCTCATGGCAGTTTTTCAAAGCGATTACGAAAAAAATATGAAATTTATACCAACTCTTCTAGAATTTGAGATATCAGCACCAACTTTAGTTTTTCAAATGTAGGTCATAGCTCACTTTGACTTAGTTACAAATAACTTTTTTTTCTCTTACAGATGATATGTCGCAGTAATAGTTTTGTGTTGATAACAACGGAGTTATCGTCATTTATACAAAAATAAAAAAATATTTGGAAGCCGCTATCTTGAAATTATAAATTTTAACAAGAAAATCATGATCTCCGACCTCAAAAACCCCCACTTACCAATTTTGAATGGAATCGGACCAAATCTTGTCCGCCATCTTGGAGCAGCCATTTTATTTAATTTCAACAACAGGGTCGGTCATCGTGCACGCGACCTATAGGCATTCATTATTCCAGATTTTTTGCTCTATAATCAAGAATCTCGCGGGGACTGCCAAGGGAGGAACAATTGTAAATATAATGCTCATAAAAACCATATTAGGTCGCAAACAGGAAAAACAAAGGGTCCCGTATGCTTGAAAGACCGCACTAAATAATCCAATTATCATTGAAAATTCATGGGGCCAAAAGCCAAAAACGTGTTGAATACAACCTAAGGTTAGGAACGCGGAATTGAATTTGCCGGAGCAGTAGATGAGTGACGAAAGAACAGTAGAAAATCAAAATGAACAGTAATTTCAATAATCATCAGAATTTGCTGTAATAATTGAAAAAAACATAGAAACCTAAAAATAAAAAAAGAAAAAAATGTTTGGCTTTTATATCAATCAAAAATTGAACAAAGAATAACAACAATAATAAAATTAAAAATAAAATTTGTAAAAAACGAAACCAAATCGAAAAATAAAAGCTTAATTATAAATCAGACTGAATCTGATAATTCCAGTATAAATTAATCATACTTCTTACTGTGATGACCCGTTAATTCTTCATTGTAACATATTAGGTAGTAATATGTCATATCAAAACATGACCATTCAGACCATTGCCTTGTAGATACATTATTTTTGGTAAACAGAAATCCTACAATGCTGGCTGGAATCAACTCATGACGCTGTTTTGACTTCAGCAAATTTACTTGCGAAAATTATGTCTTTATGGTTTTTGAAGAATGAGGCAAACATATTAAATTAGGAGCAAAATTGGCCAAGTTCAAGAATACTATTGAATAGTCTCCAAAAGAATACTTTTCAACTGAAAACCACACCTTATCAACCCTGAAGCCTAATTTCCACGACCGCTTTTCTGAAATTTTGCCATTCTCTAGTTTTACTTTTGGCGTAACGTAAACGAAAAAAACAGTAGATCTACTGTTAAAACAGTAGTTCTGGCAACGCTGAAACAATGGCCTAAGTCACTGTCACAATATTATGACAAGTGGCATAGGACACGATATTATTTTTTTTTTTTATCGATTGGAGCGCACGAAAGGGAATCCCTATAATGTTCAAAGAACATCTAACTTGAAATACTGTTTCACCTCCATGTAAATCATCTTTTGGTTTCTATAATATGTATATTCTCACATTCCTCTGCTTGTAGTAACTTCTAGATACGACTGAACATGGACTACTACTAAAGTGGATTTGTAGTTGATTGCTATCACACCAGGAAATCTGACAACGGTGTACGTGTATTTCATTTTATCGGTGTTCCCTTCGATGTTATTATACCTAATAATTCTAATATATTTAGTCACGGTCCAAGGCAAGGCCTACGTGATCTCGCTCGGTAGATACTATTTCGAATCGAGAAACAGAAATAAGCACCACAATGACACTTACAGGTCCGTATACTTGAATTTTATTTTTCCACCACTAGCTATAGAACCTACCATTATTTATTTACTCCTTTTCAAGAAGTAGACTGTGTTTCTACTACCAATATATAGTTTGCGTCATTTCATGGACCACCTCAGTTATAATTAACACGAATTCAGTGTTGTGATGCGAGATTTGCACCGGCGAGTGCGGAAACGAAACGAGTTTTGTACACTATTTTGCCAACGACCACAAATATTTATATTATATGTCATGAGTGTTTATAAGACCAGAGTAGGGATCATCTTTCTAATCATATTCGATCACATGAAGGTGATATCATTATCATTATTATTTAATTTTACTTCAATATTTAAATGACATCATTAGTTTAAAGTTAACTTAACATTAACTCAATATGAACTTAACATTAACTCAACATTACCTTAACATCAACT